TGCTAAGCACCCATAGTGTCTATGTGACAGGAAAGCTAGATGGCTAAAGGAGCAACTTCGTCATAGACTCTGCATCTCAGCAAACCCTTGTGAACATCAAGATGTTAGATAACAAAGGAGTACCAGAAGCCATCCAGAAGCTTTGTGGTGTGACAGGACATTCTGCAAGGTTGTGGGGACCAGTGTGGGTAACTATTGAGCTCATGGGCATAAAGGACAGACACAAAGTATACTTGGCTGACATTGAAGACGAATCCATATTAGGATTGGACTACTTACTACCGAGGAAGTTTGTAATTAATTTTGATAAAATGACGTTTGGGAACAACAAAGGCCAAGTTTCGGTAACTGTTAAAAGAGAGGTTGAACTAATTAGGTGTCATCAAGCTGAAGTCAAAGTGACTGAAGGAGTTGATGATGGTGAAATGGAACCAGGTTTATATATTAAATCAGAGCATGAAGCCACTGGATACACTCCAGCAAAGTTGATGTTTGGTTGGGAACTTCTGTTGCCAGTAGATCTGTTAACAAGGCGCCCACCTTATGAAGAGTTGCCTGAAAATGTGTCAGAGTTTGTGAAAGTGTTATCAGAAAGGATGGATGATATTCACCATCAAGTGCATTCAAACCTGAAAACGTCTGCTGATTCGATGAAGTTATCCTATGATAAGAAATCTATTGAAGTCAGCTTTGTACCTAAGATGTCTTCTCCATGGGAAGGCCCATATGACATAGTGGATCGTCTCTCAGACGTGACTTTCCGGATAAAATGTGGTCGGCGAGGTAAGCCAAAGGTGGTGCATGCCAACAGGCTTTGGCGTTATCATGGCCCAGGACATTTCAGTTAGAACGAAGTGAACAATGGAACAAATGACGCTGCTGAAGACGTGTCACCTGAGAAAGCCACTGTCGAAGAGGAAACTCTACCTGGTTTTGAAAAGGGAAACAGTGAAGTCCTTGATGAAGTTACCATCACTGATGTGACTGTTACCGATAATATGACATTTCCTGATGTAGCAGATGAACCCCACGTGAAGCAGAAGCCAACGAGACGGAGACCAGTACGGAAGAAGATACGTCCCGTAAAATTAAGAGACTTTGTTGAATTTTAATTTTGTGTTTGTTAATTCTGTACTTTTAATTAAATTATTGTTAATTATACATTGGTTTAATTTAAGTGGCTATTGTTCGGGAGAACAATACTAAGGAAGGGGCAGTGTTACGACAGCGGAAGTCACGTGATCCTAGTAACACGTAATGAGTATCTAGAATGGTACTGAAGGCTCGAGACGCCCTCTATTTTGTATATATATAAGACCGGCGAGAAGTGACGGCATAGACAGGGAGATAGAGACAGACATAACAATAATAATAACCGTCATAATCATCATAAATTCAAACTGAAACAAGAAATCAACAAACACATGCCTGGGACTGTTGCATAATTGACAAGATATTCTTTAATTACAATTACTTTAACTGTTTGCTTTTTTTTCAGTATTTCTTCAACTCAATATCAATGAATGAGGAATTGAAGAATTTATCAAAAGTAAAACAGGACGGCCAATTATATATATATGTAACTCTCCATTTCTTGTACGGGTGTTTTATAAATGGGGGGGGGGGGGAGTTGGCTCACCATCAAAGGAATTGTCAGAGCAGGTAGCAACTCCTGTTACATTTGGTGAGGAGTTGGTGTGAGTATCATTTTCAGTAGACAACTACAGTGAGCTTTTTTAAACTTATGCAATTTTCACTGGTGTCTTTTTTTTTAATTGATCATTCATATCACCACTAGGGGAGTTTTCAGAGTAGCATCTGGCATCAGTGGACATCCTCTGTGGAGTCGATGTGAGTTTTATATTGTTTGTATGCATCAGTAGGTTTAACATATTTCCTATTACGTTTGTTTTATACTGCTCATTTAAACTTTTGAATGTAAAGTTTTAAAACACATTAAAGGGTATAAAATATAAATAATAAAGGCTAGAACTTTTGAACCAATGATAGTAAGTTCTCTGCATTATTTTGTGAGCGAAACATCATTCATGTCAATATATTAGTTATATTATACTTTGTACCAATGTTATAATAATATAAGTTATGAATATGAGTCTTACTAATATTTAAAGTATCTTTAAATTCAACATATTGTTATGGCCAAGTTAGATTATAACTAAGCCTGGTTCTAACTTCTAATCTAAGTTCTAGATATATATGTGAATTATGATTTGTGAAGGAAATATTACGAGTTTAATACTCAAATTATTGGACATTGTACCATATATCATGGTGTATGTGCCGTTGACAGTTTAGTGTTGTAGGTAACTTAAACTGTTAACACTTATCAGCATGCCTGGGGTCCATGTGGAACCCAATAACCTTCTCTGTTGTATATCTTTTAACATAATCATTATAAATTTATATCCATTCATGTAATTGTCAAGCAGAAACCCTGGATCAGTATGGCACAATTGTTTTTGAAACAGGCAGACAGAGTATGTAGCTATAATTTATATTTTACTGGTAAGCTCTGGATTGAAATTCCAAAAACCAATTACATTACAAATTTTACATATGTATTCTAGAGAAAATATGTTGACAAATCAAGAAATTACAAAATTTATTGTTTTATGCAATTATTATGTATTCATACACATGGAAAGAATTTTGTTGTACATTTTAAGATAATTGTTATATTCCTCAATCAACTGAAATGTATTTTTTTTTTTTTTGCTTTTTTCTCTTGCCCTGAGTAAGTACAGTATATCTATTTACTGATACTTTACAAGTTCACAAATAATACCTTCCTTTTCCAGAAGCATTCACTCTTTCTAATGCTATATTTTTTATTGTTCTCACATGAACAGGAAGAGATGTAATACAATACCAATGCCTTTCATAAGAAAAATAAATACCAGTCAAAGGAGCTTTAGAGTTTTTCGTAAGAAAGGCCTAGTTGCTGGATGTGTGGCTTTTCTTGTTGGGTGAGTTCATGCTTGCTCATTTAGGAAGTGGAAAATTTTATTTGTTGAATATGACTGTACTGAAATTATAACTATTAATTTTCTAAAAAGAGGCTTAAAAGGTGTTTTATTCAACCTCTGTAGAAGTGTATAATCTACTATATTTGCTTGATATTCTATCTGCAATAGCTTTTTATCTTATTTAATAAAATGTTTTTTGTTTTCTAGAAACAAAACTGTTTAAAGTTTGTTTTCAGATTTGGTGTGTTTGTGGAATTTTGGTGCACTGGATTAGCAGAAATTTATTTACACCCATTATTTATTATTTCCATTCTGAGTATTATATATACTCAGTAGGTTCTGATTTTTATTGAAAATTCAATTATTTTATGGGGAACTTGTATTAGTGTTGCACTTTGTCATTAATGTTTGTCAGATGAAATTGCTTCTGTGAGTTCCAGCTTACAGGCAGATTTTTGTTTGTTTTTAAATGCAAAGCTACACTTATCATTGTTCCCGCTGTGTATGTCAAACCACACATTTCAGAATAAAAGCCATCAAACCTCTAATCCATAACATTTAAAGGCAACAAGGGACATTTTGATCCTTAGATGTTTCCTTTAAACATCTAAGCAGCTGCATCCTCATCACAGCCCAAAACACTCAAGACCTTAATATCATCAGAAAATTTAATCGGTAAGGGTCTCAACATCTGAGCCATGATGTACCCCACTTGTGACATTAATCCAATTGGACTGAATTCCATTTATAAAATCCCTCTGCCTTCTTCCTTCCAGCCACTTTTATCAAGCCTCTTATGTGACACCTTGTCATACGGTTTCTGAAAATCCAAATGCACTTATTCTACACCTCTATCCTCATCAACATAGGCAATAACCTCTTCAAAGAATGTCAGAAGATTAATAAGGCAAGATTTCTCCCCTAGTGAAACCATTTTGACTATCAGACAAAATTTTAAACTGTTAAATTAATTTACAAAGCATGTTTTATCATTCTTTTAAAAAATCCACCTTTGATGTAAAACTCATAAGCCTGCAATTACCTGGACAAATTTTATCACTATTCTTAAGAATAAGAGGATTGGTATCCAACTTCCAATCCTATGGCACCTGCTCAATACTCAAGAACTTGCATGACTCACATATTCAATCATTACCTTTCTTGAAATCTCTTTGGAAAATATTATCTGGTCCAAGAGTTTTGTCTTTCTTTAAACTTCCCAATATTTTCTTAAGTTCATAATTAATGTGATTATCTTGTTCATCAGTCATATTTCCTTCTAGCAACTGTTCAGGATGAGGAAAACTACTTAAATCTTCATTAATAAAAATTTAAGAAAAAAGTTAAAATTAATAACCTAGCCATTTTATCATCTTTAGAAATATGCCTCTTGTTACGTCCTTCAAAGGCCTTACTTCCATTCTAATGTTTTGCTTACTCTTAATGTGTTGAAAGAAATCATTATTGTTAATTTTTTCATATTCCATTTTTGATTGCTTAATATTCTGTATGACCAGTGCTCTTGATCTTGTATAATCCTTCTTAGTCCCCCAACATAGTAATCAATTTAATCTTTTAAAATTTAGATTTTTTTCTTTAATTTTATTTATTATACTCTTAGTGAGCCAACCCGGGTTTTTTCATTGCAGCCTCCATTTTTATTTTCTTCTATACGAAGCACATCAGTAGCCCATATCACAATGGATAGTTCTTGTCACATCTCTTCAAAATTTGCTTTGTGGAAATTTTTAACCAATCTTCTTATTCCAGATTTCCATATGCAATAAAACATCAAGGCAAATGATCTTTTACATATAGATGTTCCCCAGTCTCTTCAATTTCAACTGTTACCTTGTTAAAAGTAAACAATAAATCTGAAATAGCATCTTCCAAAATTATATCTCACCTTCTCATACAGAACAGTTTCTTCCCTCTTGAGTTTGTGCATTCTGCCAAAGTTACTTGCAAACCAACAGCCCTGTGAAAGCTGTCACCTAATCTTACAGGAAAACATGAATTTGCACCACTGCATGGTGACATCATAAGGCTGCAGAACCCTCTACCAATAGGAGTGCAATACATCTCCATGCACAATGACTCCCTCTACATTCATGCTCATGAATCCTCAGCATTGTAGTACACTAACATGTTTTTGGATTTGCTGAGATTTGCAGTTTTTTCAAACATTTTTGAAATTTAAATTTTTACTTGATTAAATTTATTACACTAAACATTAATTCATTTTTTAATGTGAATATTAGTAAAGCTGATTTGAGTGAACAATCTCTTCATACAGAACAAATTAATACCATTTCTGCTAGAAGTTCTTTTCCTGTGGAAGTGTGATATCCATCTTCCATCTTGGGGGAAGGGTCTGAAACCTCTCCTTCACTTTTGGAGGATCTTGCTTGGTGGCTAGACTGTTTTACCGCCACCTCCGGTATTCCCTTTCCTCCTCCCAATCCAGATCTTTGCCTATTTATGGATGCTTCTCTATCAAGATTGGGTGCGTCTCTGAATGACATTCTAACTTTGGGCTCTTGGTCCCTGGAGGGGTGTTCTTTACTTATCATGCCTTCAACCTCCTTTTTGCCCATTAGGCATCTCCACAATTCTTTCCCCTCCTTATAGGTCAATTAGTTCTGATCAATTTGGGCAGATCTACTGTCTTGTCTCATGTCAACTGCCAAGGGAACAGGTCCCTCTGCTTCCTGACTTTGGATCTCCTTGTTTATGCTCATTCTATTTGGGTGAGTTTCATAACCAGTCATGTTCTAGGTTCACTAAAAATTGTTGCAGAGCATCTTTCTTGATGAAACTGCATCCTAAACATGGTATGGTCCCTCCACTCGTATGTCTTTTGTTGATCTACTCTCACCTTCTACCCCCTAAATAATTGCATTTGCCACACTCCTTAAAACTATTCTTCCTCTCTTTAGTCTCCTGTACCTCTGCCCTGGCTGTCTGTGCTGTCAGTCAGGTCTGGTACAATCTTTTTCTGTAGGCCTGTCCTCCTCTTTGCTTCCTCCTTTGGATCCTTACTCTGATTTTGAACACCCCTTGCAGGATGTTATTGGTGGCCCCTCACTGGTGATCCCAACCTTAGCTTCTACAATTGATAATCTCTCATCCAAGCCCCCTTTTAACTTCCCTACATACCATCCCTTCTGATCCAACCTCATACATCACTGTTCATTGGGGAGTGATTTGTCTGGCCTACCACTCTTTGAACCTTGCCATCTTGTCACACTTCTTCCTCTTACAGGTACCATGGTTTATGACATCCTTATTGCCATTGGTCATTCCTTCACCATTTTCCCTCTGACCACTCTGCTTTATAAGGTATTCCCTCCTCTTTTATGTGTATTTAACCATTGCTTCTCTGTCTCTTCTATTTCAACTATTGGGCTGCATTTCTTCTACCTTCCACCTATTCTACTGCCACAGGATAACTTCTTCACTGGTCCTTTCCACCCTCTTGTGTTTCTTCCTTTTCCACAGACCCCCACCAACCTTTTCTTTATTTGCCTGACTTGTTTCTCACTGAGGTTCTCCACGCTCTTATCCAGGACCCCCTTGAACTTCTAACAACTGATTTGATGTACCATCTCTCCCTTAACACATGTTCTCCTCCTCCTTGCCCATCATTGCTGCCATTCAGATGTCTATGCCATGTTTTCTTTCAAATTCTCTTAAACTGCACTTAACTTCTCCTTTATCCTGGTTGGTCCTTCACTCTCTAGCCTTCTGTAACATTGTTCGGTGGTTACACCTTTCTCACATACTTGTTCTTACTATATCACTTCTCTATGCTCGTTTAATTCCAGACAGACTCCTGAATTTTATCCAGGACATTCATTATTGGTCACACACTTTCTCCTTTAGGGTTCCAATCACTGTCCTTTTCATTCCCTGGGTTCTCTCTCCTTTCACCCTTCAGGATGGAGCCTCCTGATCATCCATCCAGTTTATACCTCTTTGTGGGTGGATGAATGTAAGCTCTTTTCATCTGATTTGTCACCTCCCACATTCTGTGCCTACTGTTTTTCACCAACTTTTGATGCTCCTCTCCAGGCTGGCATATTCATTGCTCCACTTAGTTGTTTTGTCTCCATAGGGATTTTGACTTCTGCTAATGTCCCTTCTCTAATCTATCTTCTGTCTATGAACAGGTAAGTGTACAAAATTTCCTCACCTGGGAATCACTATAAAATCCCACTAGGCAGCTAGTGTTGCCTCCCAAAGTATACATACCCAAGATCTGCATCGAACCAGGATAACAGAAAGCACTCATACCATCTGCTCTTGCACTACAAGTGCCCACTGTGAAATTGAGTGTTCTGCAACACCACTTGAGGTTTCCACATGGTATCTCTATATAAATATCTATTTAATTATATAATTTTCAACTCCAAATCAGACTTTACCCATTCAATGAACTATCATGCAAAAAGCCAGCACCAGAGTAGTGTTTCTGCCATTTCTCTGGCTAGTGCTTGCTGGCTTTTAAAAATATGGTTTTGAGTCACCCGTTGCATTGTCTCCAGTAAAAACCTCTCTGGACAGAGAGACTGATGGGATCTGTTCGTTTTCCAGGTCTTCCCTACGCGAATTATCTCCCCCTCATTGAGTGGACCATGGAATACCCTTACCATTTACCAGCTCCCAACCACTGGTGTGATGGACCACGGAGAATCCTTACCAATTAGGACCTAACCACTGAGGCTAGAACAAGGGATCCCTTTATAGGGAGAAGTGGAGATGGGTTGACACTAGAGTGTAGTGTAGTTACCCAATATTTTTAATTATGATACCTTGCAAAAAATATAAAAAAATACCCCACTCCTGTAGCTGGCATGAGTCCTGTAGAGACTGACAGTCGATTGATGGTGTATGTAATATAATGCCCTCTTTCCACAACTGGCATGAGGCCTGTAGAGACTGACGATAAAATTTAGATGAATACACCTTATGCACCAGTGATGTATCACTCACATACCCTGCTCCTACAGCAGGCAAAGGGCCAAGAGAGGAGGTGAGCACGGATAATTATTACAAGTGCTCTTCTCTCACAACTAGTTTTGACCCTTTGTGTGTGTGATAGAAGAAGACGTGAGCACACCAGGTACAGTCTGAACGAGACCCAATCTCACTACACATATTGGCTGCCCGAGAACTTGTGTGCAAATTCTTGGATGGCCATGTACCTCTTCTGCCCATCCTTGTGACACACATTTAGCTTTTCTTCCTCTTCTATTCTTCTACACAGGCGAAGAATATACCCTAGATGAGATGAGATGCTGTCTCCCATATGAAGCCCTTGGACACTTTTTGAAGGGAGCTAATGTTAGTACTCTTTGCACCAGTCCCTCCACCTTCTCAACATTTTAGCTATTTTGTGCGAGGAGATGAGATGTCATTTCAGAAGTTAACATTTTTCTTACCTGAAAATGTATTTGTGATGGATACTCGCCTCTGCATATGCTCCCATACATCTTCCCAATTTTCCTTGTGCACATTTATTCATTGTCTCATAGAAGAATGAGGATTCACAAGCGTGAATGTACAGGGAATCATGGAAGTGTATTGTGCTCTTATTGGTAGAGGGTTCTGCTGCATGATGACATCATCATGCAGTGGTGGAAGTTCCCATGTTTTCACATGAGATTAATTGGACTTGCAAATCTCTTTAACAGAATGCACAAACTCGAGAGGAAAGAAGCTATACTATGTGAAGAGGTGAGTATTTATTAGAAATACATTTTCAGGTAAGATAAATGTTAACATTACTAGTGGTTTTCCTGACCAATTGATGAAGAAATCTTATCAGAACATTTTCTAAAAAAAACCTATCTACCTCATATTTTGACTCTTAAAATCTCCCAATCTATATGCCTGAAATTAAAATCCTCCTTAACTATAACTTTGTTACTAGCTGTAATCTCAATCTTAGTGTAAAGTTTCTCATTAATTTCATCAGTCTTGTCTGGTTGTCTCAAAGAAAATCAAACTTTAAACCTTCTATCCCTGTATCCACTAACAGAAACCCAAATAGATTCAACCTCCTTGTTATTCTTTTTATATTTTGTATATAAAGCCACTCCTCCTCTTTTTTAGTACTCTATCTCTATTAAAAAATCTATAACCAGGGTGAATTTACTGTAATCATTATACATTAAAGCAAATTATATTGGTTGATAGTTCTTTTTCATTATAGTGGTGGTTATCTTGCTCGTGAAGCTTATCAAACTGGTGGAAACTTGAGATTACTGTTTGGCTCAGTTCACCCACAGTCTACAGCTACTAAAGTGGGTACAGATGCTACAACAAACTATATATATCTTCCAGATGCCACAACAGGACCTGGTAAAGTAGAGATTTATTATTGATAACATTGCTTGTTTTTAGCTAACCCTCCAAATACTGGTGGTTCAAAATGCACGTTTCAAACTTTTTAAGAGTGACATTCAAAACTTGATAAACTTACTGTATTATCAATGTGTGTTAATAAACCTGCCATCAAAACAGTTATATTTCAAATCATATTTATTTTTAAACATGTTTTAATTTCTTAATTTATAAAGGAAATATTTAAGTAAATTCATAATCTTCATTTCTCTGTATCATGTGACACTTCTTTGACCCAATATGTCCAGTTTAGATTTTCTTTCTACACATGTATATCTTCTGAGTTTGAAAAAAATATTCACATATACTATGTGTATTGTTAAGCCATAGCATAAACTACTAGTCTCCAAGCTTCTTTCTTTACTTAAATATAAGCAAAAAAGTCAAACCCACATGCTATGCCCCTTCTATCAAATCCTGTCTTTTAAAAAATGTCAGTAATTTTTTCTAACATTTGCTATTCGATTATTTATAGAAAGAGAAAGCTCTGCTTTACCAAATGTTTAGTGAGGCTGCCTCATTCTGTCAGGTTTTGAAATATTTGGTCTCAGTTTCATTGTTTGCTATTGTGAAGTTTGGCACAACCAAATAATGGAATTTTTTGACCAATTTATAACTTAGAAAGCCAGTTAAATTCTAGTGGTTTTAGGACATCCTATTTTTTGTCCATGATAACATTTTGTGTTCTAAGTTACGTATTTGAAATAAATTCTGTTGTGGCACACCAACATCATTGGTTTTTCCAAGGGTAAAAAAGACAGAAATCCAGAAGTAAGTGCTAAATTTCTTGTTTTTTATGTATATTTATTTTTGAAAAGTAACTCAAGTGAAGAATAAGAAACTTATTATGTTGTATAAGAAAACTTCTATGAAAAAAAAAGATTACTTGTGACGAAACACTTGCAATGTTTGAGTCATGTTTGTAATTTGACCATGTGTGAATTTGATTCTTTGTTTACACAAAGCTGTTCTACTGTGATAAAAGATGGAAATTTAAATTTAAAGGGAAAAAAGTAATTTATACTTATTTTATAATTTTCAACTTCACTCTATACTGATGATTTTGCTACATTTAGTGTTAGAGTAGAGAAAATAATAGATAAGATATAAAGTTTTACTGAAAAAACTTGATGTTCATTTAGGAAGTTCTAAAGGTTATGCAATTGAAAACTGTAAGATGAAAAAAAAAATCTTTATTCTTAACACGAAAATCACCTTGTTGATATAACCAGACTAATCAGAGTGAGTAAGACTCCATAAATCTACAAACAAATCTTTAGTAAAAAACTTCTTTAAAAAAGCTGATTAAAATAAATCTGAATAAAAGATATTTAGTTGCTATAAAATAGAGGAATTTAACCATACATATGTATGCAAATGTAATTATGTAGCATAGTGATTGATATTATTTTAGACTTGGATTTAGCACTAAAGAAGATATAGTTAGGAATTTAGTTGTGCAAGAAAACTTGTGTACTAACAATCATAACATTATGTTTTATGTAACAATCACAACATTATGTTTTGTGTTCTCATTGAAACACATTATAGAGTTAATAAAAGGTATGTTCCAAATTTAATAAAAGCTGATTTCTGAAAAATGCAAGAGATTTCAGGGAGAGAGAGAGATTTGGCAGTTAATTTGAAAGTAAAGAGCATTGAAGTCAGAGATATTTTCTCTTATATAAATATATACTAAATAAAATAGCTGAAAAGGAATGTGTTCATACCAGCTGTTAGTAGTGCAATTAAAAGCCTTTTCACAAACAAAAATCAGAGAAATTAACTTCAGATAAATGAAAAATTCAGCTCACAAGAAACTTCAATTGTTAAATGAAAGATTATTTAACCCTTTCTGTACAATAGGGTCGAAGTGAGCATGTCATGGCATTTTAGTGTTAGATTCAATATATACTTAAAAACTTTATTGTCAGTATATGTCAATAAACTTGTGGTGAAAAAACATAGTTTATAATTTAAATATTTTATATTACTTAAGTTTCAACTTCTTAATTTCAAAAGAAAATATTAAAAACTGTCAGTCATCATTTTTCTATGTAACATCTTGAAGCTAAACTGCAATTTCTCTAATTTTCTAAAATAAGCTGCTACAATTTCCAACCACTTAGAAACACAAACTACATAAAATCGTAAGTAAGTAAGAATTTAAAAGTTGAACCTCTTATCTTCATGATTGGCTGATATATCATTAAATTTATCAAACTCACCAGAGAAGTTCCTCTCTTCTCTATGACTTTCGAGATTGTTAACGAACCAACTTTACTTAGCTGATGGACATGTTTATAACCAATAAAAAAGCAGGTTCTCCTCTACATAAATCTTAAATTTCTGAAATGAATACTCACCTCATCTTGCACAGTTTTGTGGTCAGCTTTCTTACTTATACAGAAAGTTTGATAAACTTTTAGTTTGGGGACATTCTGTTGTAGTGGCTAATATATTTTTTATGTTCTAAAATTCGTATTAGAAAGCTACATGAATTTTATTTTCAACACCTAAGTTTTCGACTTAACCCTTTCCACATGGGTCAAAGGCCATGTCATCACATTCCAAATTTTATTGAACTACTATTTTATGAATTTATGTCAATAACTTTAGTATCAAACTGTAATAATCATTAAAATTTTATTATTATATATTATTTAATTTCTTAATTTAAAAGTAAATATTAAAAATCATACCTAAAGATTAATTTTTGTGTGTCACGTGGTATGTTGAATGCAGCACTAGTTCAAATTAGATGTTTGTGATGTCAAAATACAAAGTCTATAGTTTCATACAAAATAGGAAGTCAAATTACCTATATTGATAAGCTAGAATATAAAATAAGAACTTCTTATCTTTTCTGTTTGCTGAGATATTGTTCATGTACTGAATCAAACACAGTGGCCCTGCTAACCTCTTTCCATTTTTGAAAATGCTCCCTCATATACACTTACTTCTGCCTATGGCACGTGAATAACCAATCGAAAGCTCAGAATGTCTCCCTAGTGGCTTTCTCAGCCATTTTCAAGTATTACGAAGTCATCTCATTCTTTTCAAACAAAACTTCAAGGTGGTAAATTGAGTCTTTAGTCTGCTTGAAATTTCATATTTTTTTAGACACAAAGTAACCCAGTAAAAAAACAGTTGATACCATTATATAAAAAAAGGAAAATATGTGAAACAGCAACAAAAAAAAGACAATTGATTTTTATACTTTTTTAATACTATAAGTTTTATTTTTAGTTATTCAATGATTTTACACCTTACTATAAATCTAAATAAATCTCCATATTCTGCTTTGTAGGTTTTTGTTTCATTCATGTCTAACTACATAATACAACAACAGTATTATTTACAGGATTTATCTTTTTTAAATATCTATCCTTTATATATATATTGTATTCCACTTAATGCTGCATATGTTAAAAAACATCTTTGGGCTTTTGTTCATATGGCACAGCATAGCTCATATGTAGGAGGTTGAGGATTCAGTCACATCTGTATCCTTTTCTTTTTCCCCTAAACAATATTTCAGTAGTCAAATAATTTTCATACATAATCATACGTGAAGCATGAGTTTATCTCTTGGTAAGAAATATAAAAGGAAGTCAAGATAGCTATCATTAAGTCTATCATGGGTTATGAAGTTTTTAACTCAAAATATCAAATTTGTCTTCAAGGATTTTTTGCATACTCTAAATGACAAAAAAAGAGTCAAAGATAATATTGTTTCTTTATTTTTAATGGAACTTATTATGAAAGAAGAAACATAGCTAAAGTGCTAAAGAATTTGCATGTGTTTTAACTGAATAATGTGAGGAAAAGATTTCCAAGCTGACCAATTTCATAAGAACGTGGCTGTTGTATATAGGCTTGAGAAATTTTTGTGACTAAAGCTCCTGACTCTTGTGAAATTCATCTTGAATTTTCAGAAGTCACTTGACACTGAGAAAATTCCTTACAATTGAAAGATTGTTAATGTAATCTGTGTTTTTAAAAGAAAGGGTTTAGGAAGTATCCTGGAAGCTAAGTTTCTTTGTTAAATGAAAAAAAAAAAGAATATTAAAGTGTATCAGTAACAGAATGTAAAAAGTGAAAAATGTGATTCTCATTTTGAAAATATGACTAATGGGTCCCATGTTGTTTAATATTTGTTATTCATTTGAATGATGTTTTGGATAATAATATGTGTAAACTGACTCATGACATTGAGACATAGGTAGTGAATGGATTCATTTAAGAATACATTTCTTATCCAAGAAGTAGCTTGAAGGTCAGTATTTATTTTTTTAAGGGGGCTAACCTTGTTGATGTCAGAAAGAACAGTAGTGTTTAAATTATTGTTTTATTTCTAACTGATTTTTAAGATTTCAATGTTAATACTTTTTAATAATTCTATTAAGAGTGAATGCTAGAAATTTACTTTACTCAGTATTAATTTCTACTACTTTGAACCTAATCATCAGTTAAAGATGATGACAACTCCAGTCTGAAGTGGCTACCATGGAGAAAGTCTGACAAACGCTTACACTGGCGGTTACTGAAGCTAGCTCAGTCTAAAGACAAGCAAGTGAGACATGTTGCTATCAGAGCTCTTGTGGAACTACCTGGATTACAAGGTAATACATGAAGCTTTCAAGTATAGATGTAAAGTAGTACATTAACTCGTCATTTGATGAATGTTTAATGCACATTATCGTTACTAAATAAGTTGTATTACCATGCACTGTTAGTATTTTAAATATACAGTTGTAATAGATTGGGCTATTTTAGGAAAATAAGAAAAAAGTCATTATCAGCTTAAGGTGATATATTTGCACATGTTTTAATTAAAGAATTTTAGAAAGACAGTCTTAAATGGTATTGGAAAAACAAAACATATTTCTTGGGTTGTTTATATTTTTAAGCATCACCACCCATGTTCCAAACTTTGTCCATTTTCATATTAATCTCCTGCATATGTTTTTAAATTTTACAATGAACTTTCATGTGACGTTATAAAAATAAACTTCACAAACAAAGGCATAAGAAATAAAATTTTCACCCAAATTAAATACTGTATTATTATTGGCAATGGCAAAATGGTACTTACTGGAAATGATCTGAAATATATTTGTTCTTTCATTAGTGTTTCAGTAACTTCTTAACTCTCAACGATTCTGACAAAAAAAATTCTCTAAATTTTGTTGAGCAGTGAAGCTCATAAAAACCCATACTATTTTTACCATTTAACTTGAAAACTATAACTTACTATTAATATAACTAGGGGAAGAAAAAAGCAAATAACTGGTTCAAATAAAAAAACTCAAAACAAATTTCTTGATAAAGGAGTTGTGTGAAATTATTTAGGTTAAAAAACACAAAATATACATGAATTGATAACCTGGGTTTTTAGATAGAATTTCCTAAAGTTTTAAAGTTATAGTGTGAGCTTAACATCTTGAAATAACAAGAAATTCTGGTTTTCATTATTGATATTCATCAAATATAAATGCATCATTTGGCTTAAAAATGCACAGCACATACATACAGTGAAAGATGGACATGTTATAGCTAAAATGATGTTTAACTCATATTTGGAAGATATTGTCTAGCCACAGTGACCTATCACAACTGTGTGAAATATCAATTCTAATAAGGGTTAGTACACAGGATCACACAAAAAAGTGCAATTAATTTCCAAAAAAAAATCCAAAACTTGAATTCTATTGAATAGTTGACTGTTCTTCTTTATTCTCCAGAAGAAAAATAGTCAACTAATCAAAAGTGCTCGAGTTTTGGGTGTTTTTTTCTTGAAATGCACAACTGTGTGAAAGTTCTATTTCAGAATTTTTGTTTTTTCTATAGTATTTATTTATGTGGATAGCATTTAGATCATCAAAAACACATGTAATGGCATTGTTTGTGGGCAGAAGATGTTACTGCTTTACCAGTAACATAATAGCCAGATTACAGTTAGTATGTTTTAGTAAAGTTTATTTCTTTATGTGAGATGCTGACTACCAGGAAATAGCTCAGGCCTGTGATCTACAGACAGCAGTTGGTCTAGCCAGAACAAGAGGAGTGGATCTACGATTTTTTCTACCACCACCTCCACTACCTTCCGAGTTTACTAAAGTATGTATTAAAATGGTAACAACCTATATAACAGTTAAATATTTGATCATTTCCTTTAATTTTCTGTTTGAATAATAGTTTTTGATGTATAGTTTTTCGTTATTTTGTTTTTTCAATTAATAGTATTTGACTTTTTCACTGAAAACCTTTTATAACCATAAATTTTATTTGTAAGTTTGTTTAAGAGTTGGTTATTATTGTTATTTAAATTTTTATATGAACTAGGATAAAAGGGACATGTAACTAATAATATACATAACATTCCATTATGATCTTATGCATTCCCTTCAGTAGACACTTTTAGATCAGTAGAACTCCTACTCAGATCAATTGGACCACTTTTTTACCCTTCATTCTCAGATCAGAGCCGACCTGGCTTGGTGGTTAAACAGAGTCTAGACTACGGTAGGGGTGCCGCTTCCTCTGCATCGTACAGATTTGCATCTGTTCAGAGACTCATCTTTAGAGGGCTGGGATGCTTACCTTGACTTCCAGGAGATTTTCAGTCACTGGTTGATTAAGGAGTCTACTCTACATATCACCATTCTCTATTTGTGGTGGTTCATTTAGCTTTGTCTCACTTCCTTCCTCTCTTGCAGGGTAGGGGGCTTATGGTACACTCCACAAGCAAGGGTGTACCAATTACAGGTCTCTGTGCTTTCAGATGCTGGATCTCCTTTTCTGAGCCCAAAGTCACCACATTGTGGTCTTAGCTTGCGATGTTTATGGGGTCCTGAATCTGGTTGTGGATCAATTATCTCGTCCCACACTAGTACTTGGTAGTAAATTTGAAATAATGACAAATACGAGGTAATAAGATAAAATAATGGTAAATGTCTAATTAACTTATTAATTATTTATAATGAAAGTACATATCATTAATAATAATTTTATTATTAAGGTTATGTAATAAAAGTAATACTCTATTATTACACAGAAGAATGGTCCTGTTTCTTCACAAGAAGTGAGCCACCTCAACAAATCTAATGCATTGAACCAACCATAGGGTGTACATTTCCAGACACTGTCATTCACAAGAACTGAGGGATGCCCAGACAAGGGCAGAAATAATATTTGCTTTGAAGCTCATTGATTTACACAGTTCAGTGCATTCAGCTGATCATTCTGGAAATATGTTCAGAGTATTGTTTACAGATAGTGAGATAGCAAAAGCATTTAAAATTTCTAAGGATAAGGCTTCCTATACCAGAAAAAAGGCATTTGAAATAATGAGACAATGCAAGCATTTTGTTGCACACTTTTATGAATCTCTTAATAAAATGGCACGGAGAGGACAAATGGATTTGCATATCTGGTACACTGATGAGTTCAACCTAGTTGCTACAAGTTACATAACCTCCTCATTTTTGGATGTTGTAACTGTGGAGAACCTTTTAGTTGCTATCAAAACTGTTTTCCCAATGTTAGCAGCTAGGAAAAGATCCTTCAATTAGGCATGGATGGACCTTCAGTCAACTTGAAGCTGGTGGAGCTAATGCAAGATGAGCTTTCAGACAGTCCTTGTGAACTCTTACAAATTGGATCCTGTGGCACTCATGTTGTTCATAATGCATTCAAAACCACTTTTCAAAAATCAGGATGGGAGTTTGAAGGGTTTATGAGGACATGCTACTATGTCATCGAAGACTCTCCAGCATGACATGCTGGCTACACCCATGTGACTGGGTGCATGAAATTTCCTTTGAAGTTTGTTGGTGTGCAATGGATAGAAAATCTTGCTGTGGCTAACTGGCTTAATTTTGTGTTGCAAAATCTAAAGTAATATGTTGAAGCGATAAAATCTAATTCATCCAAGAGCTTGACAAAAGTTATTGACGTCTTTCAGAATCTTAACATTTTGCAGGCTAGACATCAGTTCTTTGCTTCTCTAGCTGCAGATATTGAACCATTCCTCAGAGAATTCCAAGGCAAGCATTCCTTGACTCCTTTTCTGTACCAGGAACTTTCTGCTCCCACAAGTAATGGAGTTGATGAAATCTGGATCAGATCTTCTCAAACTTGATCTGGAAAAATCAGGTAATTTGCATCAAGTTTGTGAAGTTGAAGTTAGTTTAGGTGCTAAGAGAGCTCATCATGGAAGCAATGTGCCAAGCCAAACAGAAAGTTCTTCTTGAATTCAGGGTTGACTGTTGAGAAGTTCTGAAGAACTTTGTCAAAACATTATAGAGAAGTCCTTTAACATAACCTTAAACAAATGTCATTAGCTCCTTAGATCCTAGCCTAATCTGAAACAATTAAGTATAGAGTACGAAGCAATTTAACTCTCTTTACGACAAATTAATTGATGCTGGTTGGCTACCGTCTGCTTTGGCTGATTAAATTTCTAATGAATGGAAGAATCTGTTGGGCTTTCCCAAGTTTCTGGAACAAGCAAAAGCCTTTTCCAGATGCCCTACATCTGCCAAAGATGCTAAAGGTAAAGAAAATCTTTTGAAAGCAATGCATCATATTGATGAACAATTGAGTGCCTTAAAAAATCTTTTTGTTTGAATGATTGTTTTTGGATATGTGGTAGATGTAAATTATTTCTTATGTTCTATCTGTCAAACGATTTACTTTTTGATATGTCGTGTGAAGAGGTTAATAAAGTGTTTCTGCAACACCTTTCAGAATCAATGTAACCTGTATATTGTATTTGCTACCCATTTCTCTTATTGTCTGAGTGATTTTCTTCAGATATGTGGTAGATTTAAAGGATTTCTTATGTTCTGTCTGTAAAAGGATTTACATTTTGCTATGCTGTGTGAAGAAGTAAATAAAGTATTTCCACCTATGATAATAATAATGATATATATATATCCCCCATTATATCAAGGAAAAGTCATAATTTTTCACACAATAAGATTTGTAGACACCTTGCAATAATATCTAATATCAGATATTTAGAGAAGGCAGCAGCCAGAAAAGGGTGTGTATGGAAGTTATGTACTCATCACAATATATTTTTGTCCTCTACATAAAGGTGTGTGTGTGTGTCATATATATATACACACACACACACAGTTTGAAAGATTTTTGAATATCATAGTATTGATATTCTAAAAAAAAGATGTTTCATTTATTTTAGTATGCTACAAACTTGGTTTAGAATACTCTCTTTTTGTTTACTGGAGAAGTGGCTTATAAATCTTAGTATGTTAAGGAACATGAATGCCTCAAGTAAAATATGGCCAAACCCAGTAATAATATTTTATTACATACACCAAAAAAATGATTTGGTCTGAGGTGTAGGGTATAACATGACCATTCAATACACAGAGTATTTGAGTCTTTACTAAGTAAAACATTTTTTAGATTTCAGTCAGTAATATGAGTGGCCTTATTCTATTGTGACAATGTAGGATGATAACTTTTTTCATTAAGATCACTTAAAACTTACAGCTGAAACTTATCTATTTTGATAAGTTGCCTTTTGTCTGAAATTGTGTGGTGTATGTGAAACAAGCATCAAACTTTTGGAACAAAGATTGAAGAGTAATAGCAAACTAAGGTCAACATTATACAAAGTAATTTAATAAAGATGAAATCCAGATGAGGTTATCAACATATCTGCAAGACTAAAGGACACAAATTTAAGACAGAGAAAATTCTGCTGAAACCCCTGGGAAATGAAATGAAAGAACTGGAACTGTTATTATAGGTTTTCAGCATTAAAGCACTTTATATGGGAAAAGTAATATTTTGAAATGTTCATATCTATAATAATAAAAGGTCGGGTTTGTGTGTGTGACCTCCATAACTCCAAGAGGAAAGAACCTAGAAACCTGACATTTTGCACACATACTAAGTGGCACCTGAGGGTGTACACCTGGGTATTATTACTTATCCACGTGTGTGTTTGCTTTTTATGAAGCAAGGTGGGGAAAAATCACATAGAAAAGAATATATGACTGCCATATCTCCAAGAGGAAAGAGCCTATAAACCTGAAATTTTGAACCCATACTAAGTGGACCCTGAGGGTGTGCACCTGGGTATTATTACTTATCCACTGGCGTGCATATTTTTTTAATGAAGCAAGCTATTGAAAAACCACATAAAGAAGAAGTGGTTTCATATATAACAACTTCTAATATTTAGAAAAGCTTGTGTGTTTTGGTAACAGTGCATTCCAACAATGGCTTTTATGTCATGTTGCTTAGCAATAAAAGTATGTAGGTTATACTTTTATGTTAAAATAGGATCAGAATACACACAATGACATAGTCATCTAGAATATATCAACCTAATAACCGAGCGAAGCTGGGTACTTTTGCTAGTTGTTAATAATCTCTCCATTTACATTGAAAAAGCATTCTTATACACTTGTTGTTTTTAGACTCATTATTTAGGTATTTGTATTTAATAAACAAAGTTATTGAATAATCACGGCATAAATGTGTTATCTACTCAAACTTTCAACTACTTAAGGTAATAAGGTCAAGGTAATAAACATTGTTGTTTAACTGTCACTGCCTGAAAAAAGACTTATTAAGGAGTCAAAAGCTTGTAATAAAATCCAAATTTATATAGTAAATGTCCAACAACTTTCTTTATAAAACCATTGTATAGTTTTTATTACAAAGTTTTGCCATTTTAGCAGTATTTAAGGTTTTTATGGTTTTATATTTAATTTCGTACACATTTGAATGTTACCAAATTTCCAGACATCTGAGCATTTGTTTGTAATGTGCTTACAACTTCATGCCAATTACCATCTGAAAGGTGCTGACCTTGAATGCATGTGAGCCAGTTAATTATTTGCTTGGACTGCTTGTATCAGTCTGAGTCACATGAAAAGCGTGACAAGTCTTTTGTTTTTAGTGCCTAAAATGTGTGTGTATATATCCCAGTAATGGCTACAAAAAGGAAAGCATGTTTTTCTTTCCTTTGAAGATGAACCGGAAGTTGTCCACTGATGTAAAAAGGGGTAAAATGTTGACTAATTTTAGCAAAGGCCTATTGTGTTGTGCCAATAATTGATTGTATCAATTAATCAGTCATTTCTGTTCCTAAAAATGATTATTGATGCTTATTAGTAAAATGTCAATTATTGTAACTTTAATGTATAAACTAATGTATAAATAAGCCTTAATTAATATAATTCATAATTGTTAGTAGCATCATTTTATTTGTAAAGGCTTGATAAAATGATATGTTAAGCATCACAATTTTTAAAAATTTATATTGTTCAGTTGCATTCACAAAAAATTAGTAATAATTTAAGAACCCTGTAGAATGTTTAGTTGCATTTAAAGTTAGATTTAAATGAGCAAGATGCTTATTGTTGCCTGTATGTTTCCATAGATTTTGCCTTTAAACATTATAGGAAAGACTGGTGCAATGGACAAAGGTTTGTGCAGTAAGCAACTCGCTATTCTATTCTCCAAGTGTACTATGGCATTCAGACCTATTTCTCTATCAAAATTTCTCCCATTAGGCAACTGTTCTATCAAAACTGAGCTACATTTTCTTGAATGAAAAATGAGTCCAAGAATATACCAGTGAATATGATTTATGAACCTGTGTGTTTCTATCGACGTAGCTTTAACTTCCTAAATAGTTAGAGCATTTAACTATATACTACCAATTAACCTGACATTATGTTCTTTAGTAATGTCTGATAAATATGATAAACTCAAACTTTTATTATAATCAATAATATTCAATGATACTACTTTTGAAGAAGAAAAGATGCTGAAGAAGGTTGTATTGAAATTGGATAGTGAAAAACAGATAAGACAACACAAGGAAAAAGCAAAGATTAATATGATTGTAGGTAGTTTACATTTGGTTTTTGCAATGGAGGAATTTGTGTGTGCTTCTGTTTGTTCCTCTTTTACGTGAAAAGGCTTTGGTCATGAATAAAACAAAAAAAAGAATGGTGAATGGTTTCTCACTGACAACATGATTGTGGCTTCTGTTTAATGGAAAAGTAACTGTGATCCAGTGGATAGTTTTAAAGAATGTGAACTTGCTGTTGGTCCTTCACATATTGAGGCACTTAATGCTCAAGTGATACTTTAAAATGGTGTGGAAATGTAACAAGAATGTGAATCTGTGCAGTTTGTGTGTTTGAAGTAACTGTGTGACTTCGCTGCTAAGAAACAATAAATAAGCAGTTTCCAACTTAATTAAAACAATGACATATGGACTTAACTGTATGAGTAATGTGATGTGGATTGTAGCCAAGATAATCTTCTGTGGTTAATTTTTCTAAGAGAGCTGTATGAGAAATGTGATGTGGATTGTAGCCAAGATATTCTTCTGTGGTTAATTTTTCTAAGAGAGCTAAATTGAAAGTATTTATTTTTGTTATTTTGGTACTGAAATCCAGTGAGACTGTTGTATGTACCTACTCTTAAATGCATCTAGAAATTTATTAAAAATTCTTCAGTTATATAAACTCTTCAGTCCTTGGTTTGTTTAAGTAATTGTCATATTTCTGTATTCTGCAATTATACTAATCATTTATACTGAATATTTACGAGATCCATTTGTACGGTGTATTTACTAAGACATATGCCACAGATGCATATTCACAAAATTGTACAAAGCTTTTGTAACTACTTGTCAAGAAAAAATATCTTAAATCTTCATTAGGATAAAGGTATAATCATTATGCTTGTCTCTATAAAATATGCAAATATAATTATTATGTTTACATTCACAGATGCACTTGCACAGAAGAAAAATAACATTTCAAGAGGAATTAACCTTGTAATTTTTGTCTTACAGAACACTGTGGAATCAGACTTGAGAGTTTTACTTGCTTCTTTGCCACAGAGTGGTGTTGGTCTTTGTCTTCAGTACTTTACTCAGAATGCTGTGAAACCCAAATACTATCAGATGGATTTGGATAGTGTGAGTATATGATTTAACCTGTATTTTATAGAGCTAACCCTTTAAGAACTGAGGAATCACACTTTTGTAGCCTTATGCAAAATGTTTAGGAATGGAGAAATTCCACTGTCTTTTTGGTCATTAATTAATAATGTTACCTAGTACAGTTTACACTAAGAATAACATCTTATGAGCAATTTCTGATGATATAAAAGCTGTGTTAGTATATAAAGCCTTAATATTAAGGAAAAATTAGTTTTAAAACACACTGCCAAGCTCATCTTCTGCTTTCCAAGTTTATTATTCACACTTGTTTTATGCTTGATGCTTCCCAAAGTTCCCTGAGCAAATGTTTGAGTAATGGTTGTAAGCCCATAAACAACTAAATTATAGTTTTTTGAAACAGAAATGAGAACCTACTTTGCTTTAATGATAAATTACTAGTCTGAAAAATTCAGAGCTTTAAGGTGGGTTTATTTTTATTGGATTTTATGGGAAGTTTAAAGATCATGTAAAAACAAAGTAAATAGCTGCTTTATTTCTGTTGATCTTGTTTTAATGTGTCAGTTTTGTTCATTGATTCAAGAATTGGAATGGTTGCTTGTAATAAAGCTTTTCTTCAACATAAAGTTTGTATTTCTGAATGGTCTTTTTTCATTCATGTATTGACCTTATATAAAACTTTGTATTATTTAAATATTTCATGCTTGAATTATTGCATTCAGGGAGGTGAGTGGTGTTTTGGTGGAGAAGGATTGGCTGAAGAAGTTCACCAGGCAGGTCAACACACACGAAGAGTTCCAGCAGAGACTGTGGAACGTTTCTGTCTTCAGGCACTTGTGAGCCATTCAACAGTTCCTAGTCACAGAGCAGCCATTGTTCAGAAAGGAGGTTTACAATTGCTCCATCGTATTCGTCTCAGAAGAGCACAGAATCCTGAAATACAGAGCTTGATAGGTCAAATTCTTGGGAATCTCTCTTTAGAAAAGGAAATACATAGACATCTGTTAGTTTCAGGTTAGAAGTTAAAATATACTTACACATTCTTTTGTAATCTTTTTAAGGAAATCTTGTTTAGTTCATTATGCTGCGTAAGGAGCTGATATCTTATTACTTAGTTTATTATTATCTGAGAGAGCTCATAGCATTTTTCTTAATTAATTATACCATCAGAGAAGCTGATATTTTGCTACTTAGCAGATTATACTCTACGAGGAGCTGAAAATTTGTTTATTTTATTATATATGTGAGGTACTAAAAGCTTGTTTGATACTTGTTTTTTTATACTCCGATTTCAGAGCTTCTTAGTTCACTAAACTCTTAGGAAGGTGTTGATACTTTATTACTTTGTTCATGATGTTTTTAAAAGGACATATGTTGTAAATTATATTCTTTGGAAGGAATTGATGACATGTTATTTAACCCTTTCACTGTGCAATTAATTTTCAGGCTGATTCCCAAAAAGCGTCAATTATCCACCAAAAAATAGAAGTATGAATTTAACCCTTTGTATTACTTTTTCATTATTGAAAAAGCTGTATTTTCTATATCTGACAATAATATTTCTTGAAAACCACATTGATAGTGAAAAATAATGATTTAAACAAAAAATTAAGGAAAGTCAGAAGAAGAATAGTATTCTCCAGTAAATGGCATAAATATAGGCAAAACTAGGTCACTAAGAGGCCGAAATCATTACAAAATATAAAACAAATTATTTAGATAACAATATCCAAGATATAAAGAAGCTGTTTTTATATAGGTTATGTATGTGTTCCTGCAAAGTTAGCAATCTTATAATGAGGCATACAAACATCCAGGTTTCACAGCATAGAATACACATGGCAGTGCGCATGCAGGTTTGCTGATTGTTTCCAGTGCAGGGGGATATTCCCGCATGTCACAATAGAGGGAAACTTTTTTTGGTAGCCTTGGGGTAAATCCGAATTTTGAAGTCAGTGCGTATTATTGTTTATTTGGATATATATCTGAACTACTCGGCAAAACGGTTAATTCACTATATTCTGTGAGAAGATAACTTGTTATTTTGTTCATTATACTCTGTGAGGAGTTGGTAGCTGATTACTTAACTCGTTATACTCTTTGGAAGGAATTGATTGGTTGCTACTTAATTCATTAACTAAAGAAATTGATTGTTATTTATTTCAATATTTTCAGTGAGTAGTTGTTAGTTTATAATTTAGTTTATTATACTCTGTGTGGAGTTGTTAGTTTATTTCTTAGTTGATTACACTGTTCAAGAAGTTGGTAGTTTGTAATTGATTAATAAATATTCTTTTGAAGGGGATGGTAGCAGGTTACTTAGTTCATTATACTACTTGGAAGTAGTTGGTAGTTTGTTATTTAGTTAATTTTACCATGTGAAGAATTGATAGCTTGTTTGCTAGTTCAGCTGACTTTGAAAGGAGAAGATAGCTTGTATCATTTGCATTTAGCCATTCTGTTTCTTCCTCATCAATATTGCCATACCTAAATTAATTGATATTATACTGGGATTTTAGTGTGATGTCACTTTCAGAACAGATCTATGAACTTGTTAGTAATTTTCATTCGGTTTCAGCAATAAACATACATTTAAAATAACCATGACTATCTTACCACATAAACTACTTTATGCCTTCAATGAGTATAATCACACTGTTATGTTCCTGCTATAATTCTAAGTACACATTGAGTTATTATAAATATAATTATCATTTACAACTGCTATGTCCCTTTGCTATACAGTTATTAGTATTTTTTATCCTACTCACCTTTCTTTTAATTACATGGGAGAAAAGTGATTAAGCAATTGAGAAAAATAGATAACTGTATGTAGCTTAATGTATCTCCTTCACAGTGTCATCGTGTGAATGACTTGAAATATTAACATTTTATTTGAAACAGATAAATTTGATTTAAAAAAAATACATTTTAATGAGAATTAAAATATGAAAATTTGGATTTAATATTACTTATAAACTATCATTAAAGGACTGTGTATGCTTGAACTAAAATGTGTTCAAAATTCTATTCACCCAGTTTCATCAGGCTTCGGCTAATATGATAGAGATGATACAGAAATCTTGCATAGTATTAGGTTTGTGTATAATGAAGTTTTAGTGAGCAATAATATTTTATTTTCCTTATATGTATTGACAGCCATGTGTTTGTGAGTGTGAAAGATGTATGAAAATAGACTTTTAAAGATTGTGAGAATCTTTAACTTAGACATTAGTTACATCTCTGGTATAAAACATTAACTGATTTATTAAGGCAAGTTGCACATGTTCATCTAGAGATGCAAGAATTGTGCATGCTGTTATTTACTCCTATGAACAAACTAGCACTGGGGTCCACTTAGAATCCTACTTCACAAGTAGAGTTAAGCAAACATAGGTAGGAAATTAGTTATTACTATAATTTAAAAAATTTCATTTACTCAATGAGCAAAAATTATTTGTGAAGGTGTTTTAAGAAAGCTTTTTTTTTACCCAACATAGTGTGTATTGTTCAATAGCACATTGTATGTTTTTGTTAAATATGAGTAGGTAAATAAAGTACATAACTATTTTTTACAATTATCTATGATTGTATCATTGCAAAGATTTGTAATGTAAATTTTTGATGAAGTACTGTGAAGCTAGATTATTCTACTAATGCATCATTATAAAGTGACTGTTACATACATTGTTCCTTCTTTCTTTTTAATTTTAACTGTTACTTCCTACAGGTGGATGAACTAAAGTTAATCTCCAAGTTTAATTTTGCTATAAATATTAAAAAAAAAGAATTTTTTTGTTGTTGTTGTTGTGTGAAAAACTACTGACTTGAGATTCTTGCACCGCAACTGAGAAGGTATTTCATCCAATGAATTGAGACGTAGGAAAGTAATCAATGATATGTTTGTATTTGTTCCTTTACATTGGTGTTAATGCCATTAATTGTGTTTTACCTACAGCAGCTCTTAGTTTTCAAAAAATATTTCTTTTATAGGCTGGATTGGTGTATTGGCCTCATGGATTAAATCTCCTAGAATTGAAGTTTCACTTCCAGCAAGCAGAACATTAGCAAATATGGATAAAGACAAGATTCTTGATGTTTTGTATGAGGACCAAGTTTACCTTTTGTTCCCACAATTGAGAGAAAAGTATGTTTCTTTTCCAAAACTAGGAACCTGGTTTAATTGGTGCATCTGCATTCCTTAAGGTTTTACCAAAAGAGTGTGTGTTTATTTCAGTTAGGCAATACTCTCCTTGTAGTTATGACTGATGTGTATTTTTTTTATACTATAACTAATCTTTTAAATTTTCATGTCATTATCAAATTTTCACATACAAAGAGAAAAAAATGAGGATGAGACACTTACTTCAGGCCTTTAGATCTCTTGTTTTTGTACTCCCCATTGCTTCACAAAGCAGTGTCTGTGTTACCATCCCGATCTTATGGACAGGACATCTCAAGATTGGATTGATGGATTTTGACCAAACGTATATAACATACTACATACCAATTTCTACACCTGATTTTATTTTAAAAATGGGTCAAAGATTAAAAGGTCACTGGTACATATACAAGATTGGGGAAAATTGTTATATTCCATTATGGAGTGAATGGATCTTTTTACGGTTGAGTATATTTGTTCTTAAAATTAATGTGAAATGAATAGAGCCCAAATACCAACTTTTCTACGTATTTTGTTATAATGCCAATTTTTTTATATGTAACAATCATTGTGATTCTGTATAGAATACAAAGGAAGATGCAAAAAATCTTGCTTAATATGTTGTTTAAAGTAATGGAGAGAGAAAGAGAGGATAAAAATTAAATGTATAAGCTTCATCATTTGATTGATTACTGCTAAATGTGTGATGTATTGTTTTATGCATAACTGTTTTTATATTATTCATGTAAAAAATAAGGCAACAATTTTTGAGATTTTCAAGCTTTCAATAATATTGATATAGAATTTGTTTATTTATAATTCCAATTATAGATTATTGTATTGACATTTTACTTATTTATACATTACAATTTTAGTAATGCATGCCATTTATCTATTATACGTAATTTTGATTCTGAAAATGTGACGTGTATCATAAAATATGATTTATATAATACAGCTTTATACAATAGAGGTAAATATAATCTGTCTAGGCCCAAATCCAAATAAAATTTAAAATATCAGTGTAACTTTTTAATATGTTAAGTTAGTTATGAAAAAAAGAAAAATGTATAAAGACAATTTTCTTTGTCTACAGAGACAAATATAAGTAACTAAAGAGTAAGTAGAGCAAAAAGATTGATGTAAAAGAAGTGTGAAAATACTGTAAAAAAGAAAAGATTTGTAAAAAGTAATTTTCAAGTTAACAATCATGTTTTAATTTCTCAGAAATAAACAGATTCATGCTGATATTATCTTTGTTCATGGTCTCCTTGGTGGAGCATTTAAGACATGGCGACAGAATGACAGCAAAAAACTTACGTCTAAGGAGAATCAATCAAAGAAAAATTCTGTAAAGTCTTCTTCAGATGATACTAATGCATGGCGACACAAACATGTTTTTCATGCCAATTTTGGACTCGTTGATGATGCAATGAATTTTATTGACTACACTCAGTGCTGGCCAAAGGTAAAGGTTCCAATGTATTTTAATATCTACAGAGGAATCTGAAATGAAGCAGTCATGATAAGAATTTTCCAAATTTTATTATTTATTGCTCCTAGTTTTTTAACACTTTGCCTTTATCAGAAGCGTGTCTCACAGTTTATATTGTTCTGTAGGCTACAAATATACGTTGTACTATAAAATTAGCTTGTAAAAGTTGAAACTTAGAACATATTAATAATTTCTTTCTAGTGCAAGGCCAAACTTTATCTGATTATTTCATCATAGGAGGACAAGATTTTGAGTCGTTTGTAAACTAATTTTCAAAATTGGAAAATACATTGTATATCAAGTCTAAATATATGTTTGTTGATTTGGTGAAAGGATTTGTTCCTTTTATGCAGATTAATTTGTAAGAACAAAAGTGTCAGAAAGATCACTAAATACTATACATAATTACTTTGTTCCTAAATTTTAAAATGCTGACACTTTTATGATTGTAAGGTTATTACAAGTTTAAATTTTGCAAGCTTTCTCATGTCACTTTTTATTATGTTATAAAGATACCTATTGAGAGAGAGAGACTTCATTTCTCTGGTTTGTTTACCTTCAGGAAGATTTCTTAAAATAATAGCAATGTATGAAGGTATAAATTGTAAACTTTTTAAGATTTAAAACAAGAACAGAGTGAAGGTTTAAATTGCTCTATAAACCAGTGAGTGAAATTCTGGACACAGGACTGGTTGGCCAGAGAATTTCCTCATTCAAGAATCTTGGCAGTTGACTATGTTTCCCATCTGAGTGACTGGCAAGCAAAATGTCCCTTAGAAAAGGAAAAGTGAGTTTTGTTTCACAAACCATTTACTGCGTAAAGTGGTTTTAAAGTAATAATCTTGAATAACATGAAGTTATGTTAGCTAGGCAGGCAGGTTATCTTTGTTCAATTATTGTATAGGTATTCTTTGTATTTTGAGACTTGCTACATTTCTTCAAGACTTGCATGCATGGATTACTATATACCAGAATGATAAGATTACCTATTACTTTTACCTGTTTTTCCTTTAGGATGTGAACAAATACTTACTTCTTTTTAGTATGAATTTACTTATTCCATTAAGGTTCTCATACTTTCCTGTTCTTAACTAATACATAGAATTTGTTGAAAATTTTACCTCTGCATTTCTTCTGTGTCCGGGTTTTACCTAAATATTGACAGCTTTCCTTGATTTCAATACAACCCTGTTGTTTTGCTTGGGTTGATTGATTTTATTGAAGTTTATTATTTCCTTACATTGACTTACAAGTATTTCCCCTACATAACATGAATTGAATAATTATTTTTTGTTGTTGTTGGTTTCTGACAGCTTCCTATTCTTCTCTTCTATATCATGAATTAATGTTTTACCAATTTTTTGATTGTTTTATGTTCTGGACTTATTAATACTTCACCTGCATATAATATATTTACTTTACTCTTGCATCCTATGACTTGACAATTTTGTGCGAGTTCATCAAATATTTCATGTACAGCTAACATGTTCTGTAAAACCCTGTAATTTATTATGATTGAGTTTCTTACATTATTAGATCCTCTGTAAACTGTTAATTTTTTAAATGTAATTTGAACAGTATCCTGCCATTGATTATTTGATGTTTCCCATACATTGTGAGATCTTTCAAAATAAACTAAAGCATAATATATTTTAGTGATATTTATGCCATCAGAATGAAAACAATTTACATAACATTTAAACTGCCCAGAATTTTATTGAAAATTCTGACAAACATTAATAAATATTTAATACCCGTTCATTGCATAATGTTCTTAATAAAAGTACAGCATGAAAAGAAGTTTTTAATTAAGGGATAGCATTTTTTTGCGTACTTTCTATTCAGCAATCAAAGAAGTGTTTATCCCATCAAATAGTAATATTGATATAACTTTCTGTAAAACTATGTCACATACATTCTGCCTATTGTCAAAATATTTATTGTATTGTAGCCTACAGTACTACTTATGATTGAGGATAAATGTGACCTAACATTTACAGAAATAAATTTTGTTCATTTATTTGTGATGGTAATTTTTAATAATTTCAAAACAACATTAGCAGTATATTTCCATTTAAATAGTTTGTGTAGAATGACTCTTGGTGATTCATAGTGTTAATTGTTTTGTGTGCATCAATTGTTTTTCCATTATTTCATGATTTAATGACAATAGTTTAAACATTTTCATATCCTACCTCTCTTGCGTATAGGTGGTGTGATAATTGAGCAATGAAAGGAAGAGAGAGAAAAATTTAATAAAGTTTAAACAAACTTTCATTTCTACAAAGCACCCATTATTAATACTTTCTTATTCTTTATGCTGGTAATTAACTGTTTATATTTATGTATGTCAGTCTCATGTATCTAAAAAGAGATTAATTTATAAACACAAATATAATTAAATTGTTGTAATAGAGTACTTTTACAGTTGTAGCTACCAAAAGTATCACAATAAACTTGAATAGATAATAAAACAGTTGCTTACTTTATGATTTTATAAAGATATTTAAGTGCATGTCTTGTTTTAAAATTAATTATATCTGAATCCAAATAGACGTTCACTGTTAGTGAGAAGTGAAGAGATTCTGAGAAACATGACGCTTGCTGGAGTAGGAGAGAGGCCATTAGTATGGGTTTGTCATTCAATGGGTGGTACGTAGTTTTTTTTAAAACTGTGTACTTTGCAAAGTTTCATATTTTAAATGTGTTTGCTTAATTGTTTTAATTGAACTAAGTATAAATAATATTCTAAAATTAATTGCTATTTTGGAATTGCTGTGCTTCTCTTTAACTTTTGTGATCTTGTATATAATCCTTTTTGATTATATACAATTCTGTTTTGGGTTTATATGGACAAAAGTCATGCTGCCATTACTAGGTTTCCAGCTATTAAATGTTTCTAAATTATTCTTAAGTGCACCTAAAATATTCTAACCAGCTTATACATCAGAGCTTGCATATGTCCTAGAAAGTCTTGAAACTTATATTCTTTAGTGTATCTAAAATATTCTAACCAGCTTATACATCAGAGCTTGCAAATGTCCTAGAAAGTCTTGAAACTCTTATATTCTGAAGTGCATCTAAAATATTCTAACCAGCTTATATGTCAGAGCTTGTATATGTCTTACAGAGTCATGGAACTTTAACTTTTATTGTCTATGCCAAGAAAGTCATGAAGTTTGAATAAAAGGGAAGATTCATTCCCTAAATTATTTGTAATACACAGTAAAAGTCCATTTTAAATATTTATTTTCAAGCCTCTTGCTTTTCATCTTATAAAAACTTTTTAATTTTGTTAATTTGTGTTGTTTTAGTATATAAAAGAAACAAGTTATTTATTTACAGCAGAGCAGCTATGTTGATCATGTGCAGTTTGTGTGCTAGACATAAGTGACCTAATCAATACAGTGGACCCATCAGAAACCATAACTGAATTCCTGCTCACTTTTTTATCTTGTATGCTTTCATTGCATGCAAAAATTATGAGATTTGAATTTTTTGTAAATAATCTAGAAAGCAAATCAGGGGTAAATATTCATCCAAATAAGTGTTCAGAGGGGATACAATAATAATTGGGAGATTTAGAAAATTTGGGAATAATTTTGGGTCATGGGAAAAAAAGTAAAGAGAAGGGGATAGGGAAAAGAAACTGTATATTGACTGATAAATTTTGCCACTAAAGCCATGTCTCTATGGCAGTGTTGTCAAACAGTCAGACACTGTGATTAGTTAACTAAAGATTTAAGCAGCTTGATTGAGGATATGGGAAAGATACAAGGTTATTTTGGAAGAATATTTAACCTTAAAGCAAATTAAACATTTCTGCAATGTAGGTTCATAAATTATGGAATACTGACAACTACAACTGAATATTAACTTGAACATCCTTTTTTTGATAAACATATATATAGGATTGACAATGGATTCTTTATTCTACACTCTGAAATTTCGTTCTTACATGATACCCTGAAACGTAACTGCTATCCACAACACTTATTAGAAAACATTACCAACATCTTCCTAACAAAGAAACTCGCAAATCCAATTAAGATAACAACAATACCCCAACTTACTATATACTCGTGTCTTCCCTATACTGGCAAACAAAGCTTAAATTTAAAAAATTAACTTAAACACATACTTGGTCGTTACTACCCTCAATTGGATTTCAGGATTAGTTTTTAAATCCACATAACACATAAAAATATTTTTTCCCTACTAAAGACCTCCTCCCCATTCCTTATTGTTCCTAGCTTGTCTATCTTTACACGTGTGGAGACTGTAAGGCCTCCTATATTGGCAAAACCAAACACCATTTAAAAGTCAGAGCCTATGAACATATGGGAATTTCCATTAAAACGCAAAATAAATTGAGTAACCCCTGTGTTTCCTCTATACACCAACATAATGAAGAAACAGGACATCAACCTATGCTATAAAATTTTTCTATCCTCTGAAAGTCTAATACTTACCTGGAATTATTGATTAAAGAAACCCTCCACATCAAACAGCACTCTCCAACACTGAACAACATGCATTCTTCATTTAAATTATACATTTTTTAATATGTTTGTATTACTGATTTTACTTTTTTTTGTTGTGTTTTCTTGCTACAGTTTCTCCTCGTGATTACTGTTTTGTGTTTTATTTGTTTAATTATTGTCATAAAGGGTTGTTTTCATGAGAAAGGTTGTTGCAGAAACTGAAATCACAACAGCAACTTGTTTTTAATCATAATCTTGGATCACAACAATCCCACTTAATTAGATACCTGTAAAATCCCCCAATGCAATTTTAATGGACTTTTGTCCTTTTTTGTCTACATAAGCATGGTCATTGTAGCTAATGTCTATTGATAATGGATGGTATGTGTAAGTTTCCCAAGATGTGTGGTCTAAGATTGACCTCACCATTCTTTGCAGAAGCTTGTAACGAAGGAAGTTGTAGTGTCAGGCAGTAGCGTATAATGATGGCCCTTAGTTAAAGCATGATTAATGTTGGAGGAAGTAGTTCCAAGGGCATCACAAGAACTGGAAAATCATTTTTAGAAAGTGTGATTAACCTCAGTAGAACTTGTTCCATGGCTTTGTTATAATTAAATTACCTGTAGTTTGCATCACCAGTAAAGTGGAGTTTTCCTGGTAATCAGGCTTAAATATTGATATATTTACGAAATTTTTAATCATTATATTAATGGTAGGTTGGAAAGAATAAAAGAAAAAAGCTATCTTTTGTCTTATAAAATTTCCTGTTTTTTTTTTTACCTCTCAGGGTTGCTGGTTAAACAAATGTTACTTATGGCTGCAAAGAGTGAAGATCCCAGTCTGAAAAGCATCTTCAAAAATACAGTTGGTGTTGTATTCTACAGCGTTCCACACAAAGGATCAGATATAGCTAGTCTCAAACCCAGTGTTCAGTTCTTATTTTTGCCATCTGTTGAAGTGCAAGAACTAAAGAAAAGTAAGAATTAAATATTTCTTATTATTTTCTAATTTTCAGCTACTTAAGGTAGAAGGTGTTTCTTGCCATTATCCTCAAGCACTGTATTATATCACATATTCTCAAAAATAATATATCAGAAGCACATTTAACTTTGCACAAAGCTGGACCAAGTATACAATTTCAAGTTTATTAACCCTATCTGAACCACAGAGCACTCATCTTGTGTTGAAGTGCATATCTGCATACCAAATTTCCAACTTTAAATAAAAATATTAATTCTAACTATTTCAATAAGTTTTTACTTAAAGATATAAAAATTAATATATTGTTATTTTCAAAGAAAAATGGGAAAAATTCAGTTTCATTTAGGTGTGGCTCTGTATAAACAGTATGCATCTGTTATTACGTAAATTTTATTGTTTTATTGCCCTTTGAAGCATGTCTAACTAAAATTCTCACCATAAAATTTGAAAATCCCTTGGCAAATGTGTAGCTCAAGTTACCCTGTTGAATCACATAATGCACAGGCTACTTGGTGTGTACCTTATGAAAAATTATTATTCTTTATTTTACCCAATCTAACCTTATCTCACCTTTAAAGTTTCCAATTTTAACATTTTACTTGCTTTTATAATAAGTAAGTAACATGCATGAAAAACAAGAAGTAAAGTACTTACCTGGTTTTTTTTTTTTTTTGCTTTCAACTGTCGATGACACTTAACCCTACTTGTTTTATACTAATGGTAGTACTACATTAAAATAATAACCTACAAAAAGCAGACAATGTCCTATAACTATCATAATTTTTCTGACTTTCTAATATAACTATGCAACAATATCCATTAAAAATTCAGCTAAGCTTGTCAACAAGTTTCCCATGGGAATAAAGTTTGAACTGGAAACAAAATAAACAATTCTCTCTCTGCAGAAAAAACATAGTGCAACATGTCATTTGATAGGTTAAAACCTTGTCTTTCTATTTGTTATAAATAATATAGTATTAAACATCAGAGAGAACTGTTGGCATTTTCTGAAAGAGAGGATGTGACTGGTGGGTGTAGCAAGAGTGCTGTCTGGTTTTCTATTTTATGGCTCTGTAACTAATTAAGATTGAAGGCTATAAAAATTATGCTTTGTCTGAGCAATGATATTATTATAGTGAGTAATTTACATTAAATTTTGTATTTCTTGGTGGGGTAGTAAATAGATTAGAGAAGAGGAGATGCCTAGAGAGAAAATATCACAATACTCATACTAGCAGAAATTTAGGACTTGTTTTTACTATTGCCTTATAAAATAAAGACCTTAAAACATATATATACTACTAAAATTTAGATTATTAGTTACATTTTCATGCAATACTTATTTGTATACCATGATAAGAAAGTAACTTAATTCAATTTTGAATATAACTCACTAAAACCTTGTGTCATTTACATAAAAAGATGCCCATAGCAAAAGTTTTAATAGTTTACCAAACCCTTGTGTATGTATACTCATCTAATTATTTGTTTATTTATAGACAGTCCTCAGCTCTTAAAACTCCATGAAGATTTCACAAAGCTTGCAGAAGAGAAAGAAATTGCTTGTCTGAGTTTTGGGGAAACTAAAAAGACTAGGTTGGGATTACGTTGGAGCAAAGTTTTGGTACCATTAGAGGGAGCAGGCAAGTTTCATTTTCTATCCGTTAATTCTTTAGTATATCATGTGCCTTATTAATATCCAAGCTTGTATGCAGAATGTTTGAAAAGTGGGTTCTAATTTGTGAGATCAAAAATCACACATTGTGCTAAGGACAATCAGCATGCAAAGTATACTAATGCTATGGTAGTCTGGAGGCATGCTCTCCCAGAAAATGTGTAAAAAAATAGATGCTCTGGAAGAAATTGTGTATGAAATATAGCTTAAACAATTGCATGGCTGTTCACATAAAATCCCCAAACATTCAGTGAAAAGTCAACAAATCACCATTCCAGTGTAACACTGAATGGGGAGCTAGACCTTTATTATAGTAAAATACTGTACTATCTACGTGTAGAGTATTTATTAATTGTTAAATTATATTACTAACTTAAACAACTCTGTACAACAATAGTATGTTAGCTATTTCAGTCATTGGCTATCATATACGTACATGTATGCACTACTAAAATAACATGTTAGCATGATCCATTCTTCTGGGGGTGCTTTTCCATAAATAACTTGCATACAGTTTCAGTGGTTGATAACAGTTTCATATTAAAGGCAGAGAGCAAATGCCAATCATTCACTTGAACATGAACTTAGTGGCAGTGTGGTAAAGAGTTTCAGTAACATAAGGATATTTGGTACACTGAAGCACGCTTTTAAGCAGTCAACATGTATCGGAGGACTGTCCTGAAGTGGTATAGAAATCCATCTTATTTCCCATCGATGAAGTTCTTCATAAAGATATCAGGATTTGAAAAATCTTCCCTGTAAAAATCTATAGCCTGTCTGATATTAGAGATAGAAAACTCTTGTGTGAGTTTTGATGACATAAGTTTCTGAATTGTTGCTGCTTATTTTACACATTCTTTACATCTGGAAGAAAGCTTACTGATAATTTGGTCAAGAAAAGTAATGGTTACTGTTTTCTTAAAATATTCCTCCATTGAACGTAGATGATTATTCACATCGATATTCATGCACAGCACTAACATTGAAAACAAATCTAATCAATGTTAACATGCCACAAGTTAACCAATGACAAGCTCAACATGCAAGTGCAGAATATAGTTCCTTCTTAGTGAAGTCAGTGCTTCTTACAGAATTGTTCTATTATAGAAACACCAGAAACAAAAATAGGTTTTTTTATTTATTGTATTTATTACTTTGTCCTCGTGTAAATAGATCCAGGTTTTGGACAATTCTTCACAGTGGATGCCAGCCACTTGGACACCTGTAAGCCTGAAAGTCGGGATTCACCAACCTATTCCTTGCTGGTAGAGTTTCTTCACAGTCATTTGCCTCACACATTGTTGGAACAACTATTTGTAGAACCTGTTCCCTCTCCAAAAGAATTAGAAACAATGGTGATTATGGGATTAGTCCAGTAATGCTTTCCATAAACAGCCTGTGGTTCAATTATAAAATAGTAGGTGTACTGCCTCAAGCAAAATAAATTTCAGACTCCCTTTATTCAATAAATTTACAATGTCATATTTGGATATTTCAATTGGTAAAAGTAAAAAAAAAATTTCTCTCTATGTTATTCTTGTGTTTTGGTTGTTCTGTATAGTATTTACAGCTTGTGTCTTTAGAGGATTCACAGTTATTATGAAAGGTAGTAAAGATGATCATATGAATTTTTAATTATTTGTAATAAATATGTTGCCCGTTATGTAAATGGAACTAAATAAACTGTCATTTCTGGATAACATTTTGGCTAGTTATACCTTCTATATGCAACAAAAAGATATTAAGGTTCATGAAAATGAAAATAAGTTAACTAGAAATGGGATATTTGTAAATAATTGTAGATCATTTTAGAGTTGTATGTAAAAATAGCTGATAAAAACTTTAAGCCAGTGTATTTATGATCTACTTTTAATATGCATTTGAACACACTGTATTCACAGTAAATCAATCACTGTTACAGTAATGCTGTAGTAACATTATTAAACATTTCTTAATGATGGAAGTTTTTCAAAATATTGTAACCAACTCGGGGGTTTTTAAAACGTATAGTGAGGGAATAAAAAAAAAGTTGAACTAAGCTTTGTAACAGAATCATAATTTCTTTATAAAAATTTATTAGTTTAAAAGAAACAGACAATAGAGGTAATTTTTTAGTTTTCTTAAGCATTAAAATGCTAGACAAATTCAGGTGCTTGATTTGTTCTAATGCCAAGAACAGGTTAAACTCATAATGTAACTATGCTTCAATAAAATAAAGACAAAATAATATGGTACTTTATTACAATTTATTCCGAATCAAATGACCGAGAGGATTCATTTAGTTTATCATCATTATAATTTTACTATTTACAGAGCTGATGATTGAAGCATAACCTCTAAAAATTAGATCTTTAAAGAAAATTACAAATTAAGTCTGAAAAACATGTATAATTGTTTTCATAAGTGCATGACATGAATTGTTACATATTCCCTAGAACTGAGAATTACAGGTTATTTGCAACTCAAACTGGAAATCAATTTGTGTGAAGTGTCAAACTGAATTTTATTAGGTTTAGCTTGGATTGTCCTACTAAAAATTCCATATTATCCTCTTCATTTTAATACCATACACTGCAGTAGTGGCAGATGAATATGATAAAAAGTTGCCATGTTTGCTAAACGTTTTCTAAATTGTTTGGTGTTTTTATTAAATGTAATTAATGCTAAATATATGACCATTCTATTTTCTGAAAGCTTTAGAGCATAGATTATAAAAAAACAGATGAAAATTAGATTTGAAAATTAGTTACCTAGAATTCTGTGATTTAGTGCATATATTTCAAAGTTTGAGTTAGTCAGTGTAGTTTCTATCAAATTATGTGCTCAAATGTAATTGTCTTGTCTTTATAGCCTGTGTTCAGTGACCTTAAGCTTATAATCATCAAACAACATCAGTGCTGTATGTGTTGTCAAAAGTGTTTGTAATAGTTAATATTGATACTTTATAGTGATTTGTATTGATACTTCTTGATGCATTACATCTTTCAGTAAAGTATAAGTATGAATTGGTTCTTATTCTTTTTATTTAAAATGAAAACAAAACACTTAATTTTGTCATACATTTCTAGCGAGTTGTGTTTATTGAAAAGCTTTATTTCTGTACTTAGTAGTACTGTAAATACATACAGCTTGCTAAAAACGTATGGCAAAGAAACATTTAAAGGGTGAAAAATTGTTTCTGATAAGATGACTCACCTTCATGCACAGAACATCTATTTTCTTCTTGGAGTCACGTTATTCTGCCACCAGCTTTGTGAAATTCCAACCTAAAATTTTTGTGAAAACGTGAACCTACAATAATGAGTGATGACATATCATTCAGTAAAACTCTCTACCAAATAGAGTGTGACATACCTCTATGTACAAATGCTCCCTTTACATTCATTCATAAATATCCTCATTATCCTCTTCAGCACAGTTGTACTTAGACATGTTTATATTTGCTAAGACTTGTTGAAGTCAGTAATTCAACAACTTTACTTTGTATTTTCAACCTTTCAATTTGAATTCACAGATTGTGAATTCTTTTTCTGCTTATGTAAGTAAACATATCGTTCACAGATACCAGCAACTTAGGAAGTTTTTGCCTGTTGAGATCATAACAGCCATCATTTATTAGGGTGAGAAATACAGTAAAACGAAGAGTAATGTAACAGTGTCCAACATTTGGTGGGATCCATGTTGCTGCCTGGACTCTTCCATCCTTGTTACCCATTTCCCTTCATAGATTTCAAAGCTGAAGTTGAGAAGGATGAAATGGAGCACTTTTCCATCCAATACTTCTCTACCTACTAAATATCTCTCAACCTTTCCCACCTTATGTATGCCTTCTACCTGTTGTTTGTTTTCTTCTTTCATGTTAGTGCCACACCTGGCAGTTACTTCAGGTTTCAATTTGCTCCCACTTTTTTATGCCTCATCTTTCCTACCTTACCAGTTAATATGTAGAAATTAATGCTTAAATATATATTATTCTTCGTTAACATATCACTAATAGGAGTTAATGTTTAGAAGTCTGTTATTACTCTTAACATGTCGACATACATCATTTAGAATAGTTTGTTACTCCTTGATTTGTGCTACTTAGACTATAATATTTAATCATAGTTACCTACTCCTCCACATATACCACTTGGTATATTCTGTTTAGTCGTAGTTCATCTTTCTTTCACATGGACACATAGATGTTGGTGTTTGGTCATATTCACTTACTCCGTACTACGTAAACATAGACTTCATGTTTAGTTACAGTTAGTTGCTCTTCAATTTGTAACACATAGTCAATGATATTTCGTTCTGTTTTATTACTCCTTAATATGTCCAACTAGAATAATGTTTACATTTCATTCATTACTTCTTCACATGTACACATTCTTTGTTGATTATACTTTACCATGTACACATAACTGTTGATGTTTATTTTGTGTTCCTTATTCTTTAACATCTACAACTAGCAGTTCATGTTCTTTCCTTCTTCATTGTTACCTAAGAAAGGTAATTGGTTAATTATTTCATGCTATTACACATCCTTGTTAAGGTTTATTTCTAGTTTTTACTCCTTGATATGTTCACAAAGAAGATATTGTTTTGAAATTGTTCATTACTCCTAACCATATCCCACTTAGAATATCATGTTTCATCCAGATTGTTGATCTTTTACATATACACAACATTTGATGTTTAGAAATAGTTGACTCCTACCCTGCCAAAATTTATATTTCTGCCTCCTAGTCCTACCATTTTTACTGTTAAGTATGAGAAAGATTATACATCAGCACTATCATCCCTTTAGAATCTTAAACACCTCAATTAGATCCACTCTAACTCTTCTTTTTTTCAAGAGAAAACAATTTGAGAGATCTCAACCTCTCTGTTATGATAACCCATCCATCCCAGGTACCATTCAAGTAATCTTCCTCTGGATGCTTTTCAATGTCCTTCCTAAGGTAAGGAGCTCAAAACTAAACACAATACTCCAAATATGGCCTAACCAATGACCTATACAATGAAATTATAACCTCAGTAGACTTGTATTCAATATTTCTGTAGATACAACCTAAAGTCCTATCTGTTCTACAACAAGCTAGCAACAGCAGACTGCTTGGATGGCTCAAGAGACTGATCAATCATTACACCAAGATCCCTTTATTTCATGACACTGTTAAGGTTATTCCCATCCAAATTATACTTCTAATTCAAATTATGATAACCCACATTCATTATCTTACATTTATTATAATTAAAACCCATTTGCCATTTATTTGCCCTACTCACTAAATTATCTAAATTCTTTTGTAAATCAGCAGCATCCTCTTCATAGCTAGCAACAACAAAGACCTTAATATCATCTCCAAATGGAAATAATCTATTGACTGTTCCTTACTCTGTCATTGATGTAGATCAAAAAGAGCAAAGGCCCTAAGACTGATCCCAGAAGTAACCGAACTTGTGACATTAATCCAGTTTGACTGAACTCCATTTATAACAACTCTCTGCTTTCTTCTATCCAATTTACTAACTTATCTCCCACACCTATAGATATAAATTTTTTACAAGCCTTTTATGTGACACGTTGCCCAATGCTTTCTGAAAATCCATTTACACCAAATCTACACTGTTACTCTCGTCTATATAAGCAGTAACCATTTAAAAGAATGTCAAAAGATTTATAAGGCAAGATTTTCCCTTAGTGAAACCATATTGACTATCCAATAAAATTCTAAACTTTGTTAAATAACTTTGCAAAGCATCTTTTAACAGACTTTCCAAAACTTTTCCCACAACTGGTGTAAGACTAATGGGTCTATAATTACCGGTACAATTTTTATCACCTGCCTTGAAAAGAGGAGTTACATTAGCTAAATTCTAATCCTCTGGTACCTGCCCACTATTTATTTCAAGGACTGACAAAAAATAGCAGCAAGTGGCTCACGTATCCATCTTTAACTTCTTTCTTTAAACCCTTGGGGGAAATATTATTTGGGCCAGGAGCCTTATCGTTTTTTAAACTACCAATTTTTTGTTAACCAGCTCAGAATTAATGCAGTCATCTCATTTGATCTTGTTTCCATCTATCAACAGTCCAAGATGTGGAATACAGCTTAAATTTTCATTAGTAAAGACAGAAGAAAAAGCAGAATTTAATTGCCCAACTATCTAATAATCATCAGATATGAGCCTTCCTTTATCATCCTTCAAGGGTCCTACCCTCATCCTAACATATTGTTTACCCTTAAGTACTTCTGTTAATAATACATTGCTCGAAAAAGTTACATTTTCCTAAGTTGGAGATTTTCTAATAGCTTTCGTTTATAGAACACTGTCAAGTTTTTGATACAGAAACTTTTAAACAAAACTCTGGTAATCTATACTAATAAAACAGCCTGTCAGTCAGTCAGCGCCATAGCTCCAAGAGGAAAGAACGTAGAGATCTTAATATTTTCACGCATAATAAGAGAATTATGAGGCTGGGCATTATTTTTTTCTAAAAAAACTTTGGCCTATAATTTTTGCCCTTAAGCCAGGGGTGTGGGTACACCCTGGGGTGCAATAAAGAGGCCTATGCAAGGTCATTTTTTCCATAAATGTCGCCAAGAGGAAATGTCTAATGTACACTTTTTAGAGGAGGGCCACAAAAGGTTGGGAACCACCACTGCCATAAAAAGAGAGAAATATATGGTGTTATCTGTCGCTTGGCACAACAAATTGTTAGGGAATAAGTGTTTAATAATAATAACAGTTCAAAAAAAAACACTAAAAGTGTTATTATTCATATTATTGGCAAAAATGGTTATATTTAAATGTTTGTTTGTTTGTATTTCTGATGTTCAAATTTATAATATTTTTCATTGCACGGGTAATAACGACTTTTATTAAAAAGAATTTCAAGAAAATTACATTTCTGAACGAGCAGTGCAGCTGTGAGTTTCACCAGAAAGTGAGAGGAGAGGAAACACCCACTCAGGAAGGGTATCACAAAAGGAAAGCTACATTTTCCCACCATGCTTAACTAGCCCCTAATAAATGTTGTTTAAGACTCATATCGTAGGTAAATTAATGTGTAGAATTATACACGGACCTTTATCTACGTTAAAATATTTCTATTTGCGTGCTTTTCGGCCCTCTTACCGGGCCTTCAGAGGGGAACAGTGTACTGAGCGATAAAAATTCGTTAACTGTGAAACTGCGTTTTAAATAGGTATCTAGGCAACAGTCGTAACAGCAACTGACAGCTGGTATTAAAGTTATTAAATACTGTTACGCCTCCGGTCGTTAGTTAATTTTCCGTATAATTTCTTTCCGAAGAAACTTTAGCGATAAAAGTCCTTTCTTAAATAAAACTGGTTTATTCTTTCTAAATACAACTTTGCAATACACTTAATTTTCACAGTCACGCTATAACAAACGCTATAATTCACAACGAACGTCTCACGTGCTCGACTCAACAATACGTCTCTCTGTGTCCGCAGTTCAATTACACATTACATTGTTGCCGTCAGTTTTTACCGGTTTATATATACAAGACTACCGCATATCTAGTAGGCTCTCAAGATTTCAGGAAGGGACAGGATCCTTTTAGAAGTTCATGACGTGTTACTAGGGTCACGTGAATTCCGCTGTCGTAACAATACATACAATTATTATGAATCTACATAAATATAAAAGTACTAGTACCTGATGATGACAAAACCTTGTACATTTGCTGTTATGTTAAACTTATATTAAAGTTTTTCTTCATTACCCATTCAAGACGTCTCCAAGCGTTATAAAAGTACTGTATGTTATATGACTATGTAACTACTTCGCTCCCTTTTTTCTCTCTCTCTCTCTACTTCTTCGCCCATACGGCTCATTAATCCGCTGACCATTAATTGAAATTTAACCTTATGCCTCGAGCAGGGTGAAGGAGGATTGCTAATCTTCGAGCAACCTTGATTAGTAATTATTTCTTAGGAGATAATTATTTTTAAATCAAAATAACTGCCAGAAACGAACGCCCCCTGTA